AGCATATTTTAACTTTGATCACGAACATAGAAAATATCATCATCTCTATAAAGTCCAGCGATTACAAAGTGGAATGCGATGCTAGCCGTTTTTTAATAAAATATGACAATTAAGATTCACAAGGGAAACAGATCTTCTATTTATATTGAGAACTAATAAAATCCCAATGCTCTAAGTTAAGAATTTTCCAAAATAAATCCAATATTATTTATATTTTAACTAAATTATTTTAATAAAGTAAAATAAAATAAAACATAGTTAATTTAATTAATTATCAATTTATATTTATTTAATTAAATCACATTTAATCAAATAAATTATATTTGTGTTAATGTATTAAATAAAAACATTTAACATATATTAAAATAAATCGTATTCATTTTTCCATTATCTATACTATATGTATGTGACTATATAGGTTCTAGGAGCAATGACAATAATATTAAATTGCCTATTTAATATTATAAATAATGAGTTGTATCTAGCAACAAGTCACTACTTTCCAAGTTGCGGGAATTTCATGTGATATGACATAATCTTTCTATGATAATGATTAAGTGTATAATTACTAGTTTGCCCTCATATATGTATTAAACACAAGACATAGAATGTATCACCCTAGTTTAGTCTAATATTATATTCCTTGATACCCGAGCATACTTGATAACAACAAATAAGCTCAATAACTCATAATGACTTATTTGAACAAGACCATGTATTTTACAATCATACTCAATCAAGGGGTCCATATTACTCTTGTATAAGCATGGGGGAAATCCAATCTAGGTCACTCGTGTCCTCGTCATGATGTGTGGAGTACCCATCAACTCTTTTTTTATGGTCATCCTACTATGGACAATTTTTGAATGACAATAGAGTAGTCAACTCCATATTAATGGTACATAGTGGTTTCATGTTAAATGCTTGCATACACCACTATCATTGTGAGAATAAGTTTTGACACTTACATAACACACAATTTAGTATTTTCATGGTGAGTCAATCTGGTATATGTAAAGATTTGATATCTCATATCCATGACCCATGAGATACGATCATCAGTCTACTCACATAATACTCTTTATGCATCATTGTTGTGTTATATAACAGTAAAGCTTGACTATGAATATTTTAGAAATAACATCCTCATGTTTAATAAGGTTTCACGGTCAAGTCACACTTAATGCTCCGTTAAATATACTAATTATTCTAAGAAATTTATCATGTCATAAACTGTATTTATATATATCCTGAAAGGAGTCCATGAGGGGCGAGGTAGAGACAAGGAACCTAAGTTGAGCCTATAGCACCTTTGTGGTTGCCTGTTTTCTAGCTTGTACGCCCTTTTACTATATATATTTCCCTTTTCGTTGAACATATCACCTCTCTTTAGAATGGTCGCCTGATACGGGAAAGCAGGGGAATGATCTGTCCCTATTATACAATAATAAGGAATGGTTCATTTGATCATGTTCTCATAAATAATGGTGGGTTAACCAGCTACTCTTGCATCTTCTTAATAGTAGTTGCTATTTCTAAATGGCCTAGGATCCAGGCCCAAGACTGCTATAAATATCTCTATGATGGAGTTGAGAAGGACAATCGAGTTCTCACATAGAAAACCATATACGTGGAGCTTCTCACCCTATGTTAGCTAGATCTCAATCCCATAATATATGCCTAAAAACCTTTGACAACCTTTAATCACTAAGAGTAGTCATGTATTATACTTTTAGCAAGTACATATACAAATAACACAATAAACACAATGCCTAATGTGTGTATGATATGACTAACTAGGGTATGCATTTCTGTATCAATTTTTTTTACAAAATTTAGGGCCTGACTAACTTACGATGGGTTGTGTGTGAATTGGGGTGTGTACTTCACAAGGGTGTGAGAGCAACCGTTAGGGTGGGAAAAGTAACCCCCATATTTGAATCACAGAAGACCAAAGGTATTTAGAAGTGCTTCTCAGTTCCCCTAGATGTCCCTAAAGGTTTCCCTCAACCGTTGTCTCAATAAGTTTTCCCTTACTAAAATTATCACTTTTTTCCTTTGTCTTTATATGTAAAGTTCTAAAGTTTGTGATAAGCAGAATGACAGATATGCATATTTATAACTACTGAAACCAAACGGATCCATATGAAGCCCAAAACACACAAATCGAGAAAACCAAACAAGATGATTGAAAACCCGACTAATAGTAGACTGGCCTAAACCACAACCCACTCTGCTACTTACCGCTGTCGAGAGCTCAATTGCGTTTCTGATATCATGGTCGCAAGACCTCCTTCGTGCCGCTTAGGTGTCGCCGCCCAACATCCTCAGCAACCGCCAATGCAACCCCAATATCATTGCCCTTATCTTCTGTCTTCTGCCTCTTCTGACCACCCGATCGCCGCCAATGCGACTCCATTGTCTTTTACCGTCTTCACCGCTTCCTCCCACCCGACCACCTCAGTCGTCTACCAATTTTCGATATATGGTGCCTTATGCAATCTCGGCCACCTCTGTTTAACACCCTACATTCGATTTCGACGCTTTATGTCAATCTTCGGCCTTTACATAAAATTTGTGTTTATATATATATATATATATATATATATATATATATATATATATATATATATATATATATATATATATATATATATATATATATATATATATATATATATATATATATATATATATATATATATATATATAAACACAAATTTTATATTATATGATTACTTTAAAAAGTAACTATATAAAAATAACAAAAACAATTTACAAATTCATTATAAAAATTACTTTTTTATATTATCTATAAAATTTATTAAAGGTCTTACTTTACAAAAAAAAATACGATTTCATGTGTTTATTATTTACGGGTGTAAACATTTTCTTAGACATTTAAATTTTTAGATGAAGTTTAGGAGTCTAACTTATAAATTATGTTTTATTATAATTAAAATAAAATTGTTCGGTAACTATGAATTAGATTCTATCATAATTTCATATAAGGTTTGAGTGACTTTGACTCCTCTAAATTTATCATGACTTTAATTTATTTTCTCACTTATCTTAGAATTTCATATTTATATATTATTTCTTGTTTAAATTTTATGTCATAACAATAAAATTATAATTAAAATCACAGTGACTTTTTAGAAAATCATCCAATCCGTTTTCCGTTATTTCACACTTAAGTATTTTTTCAATGTGTGAATGAAAAGATGTTAAATTTTTAAAAAAAAAGTCTAATTATTGCACGTTCCATCATATCATAATTTTTTAAAAGGTAAATATAATATATTAAAAATATGATATTAGCAATAAAGTATAAGAACTCGAAAAACAGATATAAGGAGGACCAAAATTAAGAGCAAAGTTCAAAAAAATAAGTAAAACAATCATCTACAACAAACCCAACCATCAAACGACAGAAACGTACTCCATAAAACAAAACAAAAAGGAACAAAAATTAAAATTCAGACAAAACTAAAATTCTCCAATTCAGGACACATACAACAACGAAGTCACAAAATACACCACGAGAACACCCAAGAGAGACCGAAGCCACTCAAATCATTATTAGCTCAGAAATGGGATAGAATTCTCAAGTCAGGCCGAGAAGACACTGAAGTTTTTCAAAACCTACCAAGAAACAATTTCCAAGCCAGAATTATACGTATATCTTCCACGTCTTTCAGTGCCACTGTTAAACTGTAAAAAATCATATCATTACGAGATCTCCAAATCGACCAAACCACGACATTCCAAATCATTCTCAACCCTTCTTTAGACATAAAACCTCTTTAAAAGAAAAAAAAACATCTAAAAAAGAGTCAGCGTATCACTAGGTAAAATAACACACCACCCCAACCACCTAAAAATCCAGTACCAAACAGAGGATACAATCTCACAGGTCACAAAGAGACGAGAGAATAACTCAATGGATGCCGAACAAAGGGGACGGGAAATAGTCCCCCAAGGACAAAGAAATTTTCCTCTTAAGTAAGTTATCTCTGGTTGGGATACAATCACAAATAAGCTGCCTAGAGAAAATTATAACTTTAGAGGGGCTCAACTACACCAAATAAACGGAAGGACTAACTCTAGAGGAGAAATCTGATGACCTGGGGAACAGACTAGCTAAAAGATAGGAGTAGGCAGAAGATACAGAATAAGTGTCATCTTTCGACTAGCGTCACCTCCACACATCATTCTCAAAAGAAGGGATAAAGTCTCTAATGACAGACAGAAGATCACTAAAAAGAGCCAACTCGTAGTTAAAAAGCAAAAGACGCCTCCACTTGAGGTCCCAAGTCCATCTCTCCCCCTTCCCATCTACTAACTTTCCCTATCGATTTTGAGGCTTGAACCGAAATAAAAAAAAAATATCTAAAAAATCTAAGACGAAGGAGAATATTCTCATCTCAAAGATCCTCCTAAAAAGAGGTTATAAGACTCTGTAATTGATCTCTTTAATTATTTATTAATTTAATTCAACATTTCTTATAATAGACTTGTAAGTGCATTTAATATAGCCAATAAGAAAAAATAGTTTGATTAATTACTAAAACATTTTCTTACAATTAAGAAAACATAAAGGAAAAATAATTCCATTCAAATAGAATTTCAGAACAATTTAGAAATTAACAGTAATCTTTTTCCATGTTTGTAAATCTAAAACTGCTATAAAACTTTGTAGATCTCAACAATGAAACAGTAGAAAGAATTAAATATGAAATTGGAAAAGAAATAATATTACTAATATAATAATGAATGCATTAATTATCAGAATGGATAACTATTGAAAAATTGACTGGTGGAGCCTTTTCTTTGGCAAATATTTAATATAATATTTTAATTAAAGTATTATATTTAAATATTATTCCATTTATAATATAAAAAACTATAGGATAGGCCTTATATATATGAGTCTCTATCTTTTCGACACATTGATAACTACTACTACTACTCATAAGTCATATAAATTGGCAGAAGCAATGAGCATTACGAAAGCTATAATGGATCTTGAAGTAGATGACGATGGCAGAGTCAAGAGAACTGGTACTCTTTCTTTATATTGTTTGAAATTTATGCATTTAATTTCTCTTTCTCTTTCTCATGAATCTTGCAAAACTTTTTTTTCAAATTATTGTATTAATAATTACCTTCTTTTTTAAAGATAAAAAACATAAAAATAGAATATTCAGTGTTTTGGGTTCACTTTAAATATTATTTCTTCTGTAAGTGGAAACTAAAGCATAAGCATGTGACAGTAAGGAGAATGAAGATTCTAAAGAAAAGTAGGTGATGTATTTACTGAAGAAAAAGAATCAAGTGAAAAGTAGAGATCCAAATGAAATAGATCTGCACACCTATTACAATTACAGATTTAAAGTTTTTTTTTTTGGGATCCTAATTAGTAGGATAATGAAAGTTTTACTTTTTAAAATAAGAACCAAAGAAAATGTTTTAAAAATGAACGGATATTTAATTTCCAAAATATTTAGCAATCTTGAAGTAAAAGTTTTTCTTGCATACTAATTTCCAAAAAAAAATTAAAAATGGTGCTCATTTTTTTATACATGGATCAAACAATTTATTACAATAATTTAATAAATATATTTCTAATGTGTATCTTTTGATGTACAATGTTGCAGGTAATGTGTGGACTGCTACAACACACATAATAACAGTGGTAATTGGGGCTGGAGTGTTGGCTTTGGCATGGGCCATGGCCCAATTAGGATGGATAGCCGGTATATTCAGTGTAATACTCTTTGCATCTATTTCTCTTTTCACTTACAATCTTGTAGCCGATTGCTATAGGTTTCCAGACCCAATCAATGGGAAACGAAATTATACATACATGCAAGCTGTCAAGGTCTACTTAGGTATACTCTTCTAATATTTTCTTGCATAATAATATAATTATGGAAATTAAAGCTCTAAATTGTACATATTGTTATATATATTTTATATTTTTATTTGATAATAGGTGGAAGGATGCATTTGATTTGTGGAATAATTGTGTATGCAAAGCTGGCTGGAATCACAGTGGGCTACACAATAACTTCATCGACAAGTTTGGCGTATGTTATTACGTTAAAAATTTATTTTTGACTATACTTAATTAACTATATCCTTTTTTACATCATTACATTATGAATTTATATATTAGCTAATACAAAATGCTTTGAAATAAAAAAATTGCTTTATATTTATCTTTCTTGTGAATTATGACTATGAATGTAACATATTTCAGAGCAATAGGAAAATCTGCTTGCCTTCGTAGTAAAGGACATCAAGCTGATTGTAGGAGTTCTTATAATCCGTATATGATTGGTTTTGGGACATTACAACTTTTCTTGTCTCAAATTCCAAACTTTCACACATTAACATGGCTCTCATCGGTTGCTGCTGTTACATCATTTGGTTATGTATTAATTGCAATTGGTCTTTGTTTTTCAAGTACTTATTTCAGGTACTTTTCCCCACAAATTTATCTAAAATAGCTTACTATTGATTTCCTTTGATAATAATGCAGTTGTTCCTCACTTTTCTATTTAATGTATATTACATAGTTTTGAAATTTTGATCATCTTCAATCAAATTTATGGTATATTTGATTGAAGATGATCCAAATTTATAATATTTTGTCTAATCACAAATATATTTCGGCTAAGAACAGGAAAAGGTGCATCGACCAGCATATTTGGAACAAAAGTAGGGCCAGAACTATCTGCTGCAGACAAAATTTGGAGGACTTGCAGTTCATTCGGAAACATAGCACTTGCTTGCAATTACGCCACTGTTATTTACGACATAATGGTACAAAATCACGATTTACATATTTCTTATTATCACCAATTGAAGTGTAAGAAAAACTCTATATATCACCAATTGTTTGCACCTAGGGAATTATAACCTAAGACATATAGAGGAGCACACTCATAGGTCTTAGTCCTTCTCACCAGGTAACTCTTTAGGGTTTTAGTTATTACCTTGAATTTGATTATTTCATTCTTTTGTTTAGGATACATTAAGGTCGACTCCATCAGAAAGTAAACAAATGAAAAAGGCTAACTTAACAGGGCTCTCAACAATGACAATGATATTCTTACTATGTAGTTGCCTTGGCTATGCCGCTTTTGGGGATAAAACACCAGGAAATATTTTTGCTGGATTTTATGAACCCATACTGGTTGGTTGCAATTGGTGATATATGTATAGTTATCCACATGGTTGGAGCATATCAGGTTGGACCAATACTATTCAAGTTTAATAATTGAATATTTTTACATGTATATTGTTTTTGTATACTATTTTATTCATGTTTTAATGTGTATATGCGATCATTTAATGTTGTGTTACAGGTGATGGCTCAACCATTTTTTCGAATCATTGAAATAGGTGCTAACATCATGTGGCCTAATTCAAATTTCATAAACAAGGATTATCAAATTAGTGTGTGCAAGATAACAATCAATATGAATTTGTTTAGGCTAATTTGGAGGACTATATTTGTGATAATAGCAACAGTTCTTGCCATGGCAATGCCATTTTTTAATGAAGTTCTTTCTCTCCTTGGAGCACTTGGGTTTGGACCCTTAGTTGTTTTCTTTCCCGTACAAATGCACATTGCCCAAAAGAACATACAAGTATTATCATTGAAGTGGTGTGCTTTCCAACTTTTGAATTGTTTGTGTTTATTCGTCTCCTTTGTTGCTGTAGTAGCTTCAGTTCATCAGATTAGCCAAAATCTACATAAATTCAAGATTTTTGGTTATAAAAATTAGCATATTTGTAAAATATAAATTAATGAAGTTAAATTATCTTTTTTTTCCTTTAACGCCTCTTGTATTTTTTTTTGTTTTTATGCTCTAACGATCATTGTGTATCATATATTTCTCAATAATTTTGATTTGTACACCTTATATCATCTTATATAGTTCAAAAGACATCAATTTCATATTTATGTATATCAAAATATTAAATAAAAAATAGGCAAAATACCTTTTGTTCAAAAATGTCCACGTTAGTCTTTTCCGTCTAATTTTCATAAACTGTGTTAATTTTTTCATACTGACATCTGAAGTGGCGTCTGTTTGTACGCGTGGCATGTGACTTGACATACAGTCATCTTTAAGATCATCAAAATTCTAACAAAAATCTTAAAAATTTGTGTTGAGTCAAGAGTAGAACATAGGTTCGTTCTATTGCTTAACAATATTCCAACTACTAAGTCAGCGCCTGCTTGCTTGACACACTCCAAAAATAAATAAAAGTATGAAGGTTTGGAACTTATATTTCTTCTGCACCATTTTTCAATGTCCAGGTATGTTATTTTGTTTTTAAACCTTCTATAGATGACAAACTTGTTTTTAATATATGGATACTTTTTAAAAAGTTTTAATAATATATTAAATATATTATTGTTTGTATTTCATTTTTTTAAAATGTCACAATATATTTTAAGATTATGCCTTAAAAACATATGTAATATCCATTAAAATATTAAAATAATGGGTTAACGATTTTTATATGACCAATATAATGATGTTATTGATTTTATATTTAGATAAACTGATTAAGTTTAAGAGATATTATATTTATCAATAAAATGAATTTATTTTGTTTAACAATGTTCTCTAATATTTTATGTATTTTAAATGTGTTTGTAAATTGTCTGTTATTTTGTCATTCTAATATGTCTCTCACATTGTTTTGTTTTGCCAATTTTAAATTATTTGTTGTTTAGTTAAAGTAATATTTTAATTATTGGATAGAAGGATATATTTATTATTTACTCTTTTATATATATATATATATATATATATATATATATATATATATATATATATATATATATATATATATATATATATATATATATATATATATATATATATATATATATATATATATATATATATATATATATATATATATATATATATATATATATATATATATATATATATATATATATATATATATATATATATATATATATATATATATATATATATATATATATATATATATATATATATATATATATATATATATATATATATATATATATTTATATATATATAATCACCTGTATCTATCATTAATTAAATATTTACAAAATCCATTTCTTTTTTTTAAATCTTATTCTTAATGTTAATTTTAAAAATTGCATTTTTTCTTCACTTTTGTGTTAGACTTCTCATAAAAAAAAAATTATATATGAATCTAAAATCATAATCTGAAGAAAAATGTTACATTGTAACATTTATTTAACTAGATATGTTTTACCTTAAAATATAATTTTACTATTTTCTGTTTTGATTTATTAATTTTGTTTCTCCTTTTAAATTAATTCTCTCTAATTTTTTTGTTAGAATCTAAAGTCCACTCTCTTACTATTAAGTTCTCGTGGTTTTCATTTAATTTTGAAAAAAAATGAAAGTTAATTTTTTTTTTAGTATTATGGATTTATAAAAAGATAAGTTAATTTTATATGAACAATGATGAGAATTTTAAATTTATCATTGATCTCATTGTCTAATTGCACAATTTCTATAGTTATTTAATTGTTTAAGACATATAAGCAAGCACATGTTGGCTTAGTGGTTGGAATATTGTCAAGCAATTAAATGAACATGTGTTTAAATCATTGTTCAACACAAATTTTTAGGATTTTTCTTAGAATTTTGATGACCTTGAAGATGATTGTATGTCAAGTCACATGTCACGCGTACAAACAAACGTCACTTCAGATATCAGCGTAGAAAAATTAACACCGTTTATAAAAATTGAACGGAAAGGACTACGTGAACCAAAAATGGTATTTTACCTAAAAAATAACTCTCATACACTATGATCAAAAATTAAATTTTAATCAACAATTAAACAGCACAAAGATGTAAATTTAGTAATCTATTGAGAAAAATTTAATGTGAAAAAAAATGTTATTTAAGATGAAGATAATATAACTCTAATAAAAAGAATTTATCTTCTAATACTAAATGATAGGGTTTTTAACATAAATAAATCATGTTCAAGACTGGATAAAATATTAAATTATTAAGTATATGGTGTCTAATTAAATGTGTATTTAAAAACTGTTAAGTTTGTAGCGAGAGCTTTATATATATATATATATATATATATATATATATATATATATATATATATATATATATATATATATATATATATATATATATATATATATATATATATATATATATATATATATATATATATATATATATATATATATATATATATATATATATATATATATATATATATATATATATATATATATATATAGCTCGTAACAGATGTTGAGTAAAATGTCATAACATTGATCTGACTGCTACAACAGAGTATAAAGGTTACACTGAAGACAAATATTATGTTAGATGTTATGACATGTTGTATCAAAACAGCAGTACATGATGTTTTAAATTTTGACAGATTTGATTTGATTTTGTGATTTTTTTAGATATATCTCAATAAATTACGCAAGTCAAGAGGATTTAATCTGGAACAAGTGAATCAAATCTCCAATAGCATTAAAGTTTTTAAAATTGGATGTTTGGACAATTTAGGAACCTTGAAGATTTGTTCCAACATTTAAGGAGATTTTTCTGCATAATTGGTGCAACTCTCAGCTTGTGGATCAAGAGATATTTAGGTGAGGATTTTGAAGCCCGTGAACTACTTAGGTGTATTTAAAAAGAATACTTAACCTAATGTAATTTAACTTTCATAATTAAAAAAGTAGGACAAGTATAAAAGTCTTAGGTTTTGAGAGTTTCTTGTGTTTTTTGTAAGTCACCCATATATCTTTTGATACAGCAAGATGGAAAGTTTGTTACTTGTTAGTTTATCAAGTTATTGTTACTTGATTATTTATCAAAGTATTGTTCTTGGTTTAAGCTTTTAAGCAAGAAAATTAAGTATTGTTCTCACTCATGAGCTTTTAAGCAAAGAGTTGAGTATTGTTTATTTGAAGTGTAATCTTCTTTTGGTTTCTAATCTATTCACAAGGTTTGTGGTTGTAGGTGTCACTACGGCGATTAGAAATGGGAGGGAGATCTCATATCTAGATGGTGATTTCTAGGTAGAAGTTGCGCAAGGATTAGGCGAGAAGTTATAAATTGAGACTGTTTAGGCTTTGAACTAGTAATATTATAGTGAATTTTCTTCTTGACTTGGTAGCCCCCAGAGTAGATGACGTTGCACCAAACTGGGTTAACAATCTGTTGTGTTATTCATCATTCTGCAATTTACTTTATAGTTTGATTTTATTCTCTATCAGGAACAGATGTCTCAACATCTGTCTTGACATTGTGTTCTGTTGTTGGATCATCAGTATTAACACGTATTGCAAGTGCCAGAATTTTAATTGACATCAGAGCAGACACCTTGGTCTGTGTATTGGGTGAGCTTTAGAGAGTATTGTTATTTTGTTGGAGGCTAGAATGATAGCATTATAGAAATCAATGGACAAAAGATCTTGGAGAATTGTTAGGATAGAGAATCCTGGTTCTTAGGAGATAGAAGGAAAGAGTATGAGTTGGTTCTTTGTTAATCTGAAATTGTCAATATCATAATCAATGGAATTGATAAGCTTTTGTTCATACTCAGTATCACTTGTATTGTGACCAAAGATACTTGGAAAATTCTCAAGTCCACTCATAAAGGCACATCTAAGTGTTTTAAGAGAAAAGAGTTCAGAAGAAAGAGGAAGAAACCCATGTCTCTATTCAATAGGTTTGATTTGGAAGTTACAGCTTTTGAAGAAGAACAAAAGCATGGCTTTTGTTTCTAAATCTGAGGGAGCGCGTGTTCTGGTCTCTAATGAAGGTTTTCTTGTTGATATTTTATTTCTTGTAAGGTTTTATTGTTGATATTGTATTCCTTGTATTCCTCATTAGAGTGGACAAAATGTCTAGACTAAATGTCCATAACATCTGTATTGATATCTGCAAGTCTGTAAGGCTGAAGAAAAAGTTGGAACTGGAGTAAAAACCAATCAATGTCAAAGCATTCAGTAAAATGAGTGTGAAGGCCTTGGACCTTTGTGATGCAGAATGCTCTACCTATCTTAAATAACATTTATATGGGTTTTCTATTTCTTGGTTTAATAAGGAAAGTGATTGTTTATGAGTTTGCCAAGAATGTTATTGGGTTGACTGAAAGATGGATTTCTGATGTAGATTCTTGTATTGAAGTTCTGTCTCATGATGAGCTGGATATTTTATTCAAAGATCCGTGTATCTAGAATAAAAATGATTGTGAACCATGAATAAAATAGGAGGTGATTATTTCTTACTTTATGTCTTAAGAGAAGGAAGGTTTGTCTACCATCTGTAACTTGTAGGGTAAGGTGACTCTATTAATCCTCAAACTTAATATCTTGAGGAGAGTTCAGATCAGTTGAAAGAGTTTCTTCAAGAATGAAGATAATTGGAAGTCTAAAAAGGAATAGGGTTTTCACACAAAGAGAAAACTCAAGTGACAAAAGGTTGTTTCCATCAAAAGGCAAGCTGAGTTAAGGATGTTAATCTTAATGTCTCAATATTGTGCTAGACATCAGAATACTCAAGCTAAAGGAAGATACTTGCACTGAAGATATCTCTTCTATGAAAAGTTGATCATAACAAGCTCTTTTATTTGACTTCCTCAAATGTCAAACTCGGTATTGGTCAACCAAGCAGTGGTTAAAACTTAGGTGATAATTGCCTTATTTCTCATACCTTCTTAGAACTCCAACTAAGATGATTGGTATTTT